ACAACAATTTAAATTATATTTATCTTCCCGCCCTTTTGCGATTTTAAAGAATTGACATTTTGCCTTCTAAAATGTCATGCAGTTTGGCGTTTGATGGACATAATTTCAAAAATCAGTAGTGTTCACGATAGCAATAACAAAAGAACATATTCGATTTTCCACCCACTTCCATCTTCGCGTTTCATCTGAAGAAAAGTGCTGCTTAAGCCACTGAAATGATTTGTGCTGAAAAACAATTGACCAATTTGAGCAATGCATTAGAAGAAAAGAAGCTATTTACTGGCCAACGAAATCGTAAAGTGATCCTGCTTCATGATAATGTCCGACCACATGTTACGAAAGCGACTCAGGACCATATCTTTGCGTTAGGTTGGGAACTTCTCCCGCAAGCGGCGTATAGCCTAGACATGGCGCCTTCCGATTATTACCTATTCCAATCTCTGCAGCATCACTTAGCTGATATATATTTCGTGAGATTTGAAGAGATACGAAAATGCATTGATGACTTTATCGCTTCGAAGCCGGTGAGCTTCTATCGTCAAGGAATTTGCAAGCTACCCGAAAAATGGCAATATTTCTCTGATTAATATTTTTTGTTTATTTTTGAATAAAGATTGAATTTTGCAAAAAAAAGCTCAGAACTTTTTTGCTCACCTAATATATATATATATATATATATATACAGAGTGTCCCGCGTAAGACGGACCAAAAGAAAAATATAAGTAGAACACATAAAAGTGAACAAAAATTGTATAGGTCATTTTTCAAACAACCACGTAAAATTTCGAGATATTAATTAAAATAGTTGAGCATATCAGAGCACGGCGACACGGCAGACGGGACATACGGCTCGCCGCGGCCGGTGAAGAAAATGGATGATTGCTCGCGGACCTATCTTATAGGCCAGAGAGATGGGCCGTTTGGCATACTGAAATGAGTAGCTCCGTGTGTGCGTCCGTGTACGTGTGCGTTCTTCCATTTTCTTCGCAGACTGCGGCGAACCGTGTATCCCGCTTGCCGCGTCGCTGCACTCTGATATGACCAACTATTTTAATTAATATCTCGAAATTTTACGTAGTTGTTTGAAAAATAACCTATACAATTTTTGTTCACTTTTATGTGTTCTACTTATATTTTTTTTTTGGTCCGTCTTATACGGGACACCCTGTATATATATATATATATATATATATATATATATATATATATATATATATATATATATACACACGA